AATGGAGAAATCATAAGACTCCCATGAGCGTACAGAGTTAACCAGTACTTGGCCTTGGGTTTTGTGAAAACCATAGCTTTTGAAACATGACGAAATAAAGGAAAATAAGTAAATGAGAAAGATGGAGTCTCTGTAGCAAATAGTGACTCAATGGTAGCCATCATTTCATCGAAAGATACAGACTGAATCATATAGGAAAGAGTAGTCTGAAATTAAGATACATTTCATCCAGACATAAAGTCGTCTTGAATAAAATAGTTCTGCTGAAGTTCTGGACTGTCACATTACACCACCATGCGAATACCCACATGGACATGCATGCACACGCGCACGGGGCGGGAGGGGATGAGGACACAAATTTGCACACAAAATATCTACATGAGATGATGTGTAATCCAGGCATTCTGAGCAGTGACTCCCTGATGATAAGTCACCCCGTCGATCTAAATATCACACATCATTGTTTACAGTGCCTGCTCTCACATTCCCTTGGCAGCAGCTATAGGTAGCTGGTTCACACGAGGCAGCCACCCCTCACCGTTACTATGTAGCTCAGAAACAGATGGTGGCGCTCTGCCATGCCAAATCTAGGTATTTGCTTTAGCATCCTGAGGAAGAAAGGAAGAAAAATGAAAGAGCTATTGCCATATGAATTACTGAATTAGTATTGGGACAGTCTCATTGGGAAAGTTTTTGTTTGAGTCACAAATGACCAGTGTCACCTTGTCATATTTAGACTTGGTAATGAAGACAAAATATATTTATAAATTATAAAAACACATTTTGCAAATGGCTTGTTATAGTCTTTTCTTTACATTGAAGAGTTTGGCCAAGTGCCCAAGCATTCTTTTTCTTTTCTTTTTTTTTCCCAGTAATTTACTATCGGCACACTCTAGACAGCCTCGTCGTCTTCTCCCTCCCTTCTTCTCACTAGTTCTCTTGAGCAAATGTACTTTTCCTTTTAGTTGGAACAATATTAAAATAGAAAAGGAAAGGAAAAAAAAAACTGACAACAGAATGGTGTCTGTCTGGAAGCTTTACCCACTATTGACCCTTGATTTTGCTTCATGTCCTTTATGCCCATATTGAATATCTCAGAGGTGCTCAGGTGAAAAGGAATGGGCCTCTTTCTTGAAACAAGTAGAAATACACCTTTGTAAAGAAGAATACATGACATGCTTGCCATCAGGGTGCGAGGCTTCTGTTTGTACACTCAAGACTATTTCTGGACACTGTCTCCTATTTAGAACACCGGATTTGGAATCAGACCACCCTAGGCTCAATGCTTACTCTTTTATCTGGCTACATGGTACTTCAGGCAAACTATTAAAGTCTTTTTGAGTTTCAGAGTATCTTAGCAATTAAGTCAGGGTGTCTAGAAGAATTCAAAATGATCTCAGGGGCTGGGGATGACAGGGCAAGCACCCCACTTGCCTTGCATATCCAAGACCCTAGGTTTGAGGCTCTGTACCACCAAAACAAAAGCAAACATGATGTAAGAACAGAAAATGAATTCAGACAAAAGCTATAGACTTTACTCGTAATGTATTGCCTGGGTTCTTTGTAACATGTGTCATATTTCTGAGTGTTAACAATATGAAAGGCTTGCTTGGGGCATGTAAGAACCGTGTACTGTAGCCTATGGTTTTCAGTTAACTTAAAACTGTTCAAAAAATAAAGTGGGAAGTTTGAAAAATGGTCCAGATGAAGTGTGTTGCACATCATAGGCACATTATTTGTGGCAAGCATGATGAAAACTCCTGGGCCTCATAAGGTAGTGCATTCTGTAACACATGCCTTTACTGCCTCATGGACAGTTCCTTTTCATAGACAGTTCTGTCTTGCTGCTTCTGCATCATTCTATCCTTTCTCTATGTCATTTCTCATTTGTCTCTTTCTAGTTCATTTGTTTTCAGTGTGTTCAAAGATCCAGACTGATATTAACCAACCAGTTTTGCTTATTGGCTTTAAATTTTACCATATCTAAAATGTAAACCTTTTCATTACTTTCATAGTTTCAAAAGCTTGAATTCTGAGAGTAAGAACGCCATCTCCAGAGTGCACCAAACATAAAAGACAGAGCAACAAAGAAAGTTTATTTTCTTTTTAGTAAGAATATATGTATATGTATGTATATATATGTATATGTATATATATATATTTAGAAAGGATATATATATGTATATATGTTATATGTATATAATAAAGAGACATAAAAAGCAAATAAACTTTCCTTGCTGATACATACACATGTTCACACACACACACATACATATATACATATACATTCCCACTGTAGCCACTAGGCCTGAGGTTGTTTTGCTGGAATGTATATTTAGCAATAGTTCTTACAGTGTCTAAAAATAGTTTGACAGAAGCCCAGTGTTATCAGTCTGTCCTGGAGTCTCTCTGATGTGAAAGGCCATGTGTAAAAACAGGCTTGCCCCTCAAATAACAGCTTTGAATGGGCTGAGGTAAAACATGCAGTCAGACTAGAGGGAAATGGCCTCATTTCTTTCTCAGTTGATAGAACGGGGTTCCTACAGAACTGTCTTTTTTCTTTCTCCCAGCGCTGTACCTACACATCAACTTAAAGGACATAGCCACAAAGGCTTTGATTGATGAACACAAGGTCTTGTTTTATTTTGTTTAAACAGTTTTCCTGGTGAAAGGTTAGGACATCTTTGGCTAATTTCAGTCCTTGATGAGATTTTGAAGGTAGACTTTACCATATTATAAAGACAATTAACTTAATTCCAAGAAGAAACTTAGTTTAGCAGACTATGTAGAAACACATTCAACCTTTAAAAAATTATCATAATTTTACTTCTCTAAGGATATTTCTGTTCTAACACAGTTGGAAAGGAAAAGGTCTCTGGAAGGGGATATTATAGAGGTGGGGCTAAACGGTGGTGTGTATGGCCTATCTGCTGTCTCTCACCCAGGAAGTGGGTCTTTTTGACTTAATAAAACTGGCATACAAGCAGTAGTAGCTAAAATAAATTGACAGGGTTGGGCAGTGTTTGTACACATAGAAGCAAAGCAAACAGAGCAATCTGTTCCACTTCGAGATAAGGATACAAGGTAAATTTGGAAAGATCCAACACCTTACTTGAGCAACATATAATTTCGATTTAAATAGCAGCAATGCAGAAATCGCTATTTTAAGAAACTAGGCTCACAACCTTGATAGGTTACAGCTGGAACCTCCATGGCCGGTGAGTTCAATTGACCTCAGCCTTGTAAGGGCTTCAGTCATTCCAGAGACTGAGACAGAACCCTGACTTTCTTCACTTAAGCACACCCACTGAGCTCCTGGCCCCTTCCTAGCTGATCCTTACCACTGACCCTCAGCCCGTGGCGTCTGCTCCCCACCCCCTCCGTTCTTTCTCTGGTTGGGGATAGTAATGGGGTCCGCCTCCCATGAAAGGCAGCTCAAAGCCGGCTTGGCCTTGCCCTGCCTCAGACACAAAAAGCTTATGATGACTATAACTGAGAAGCTGTTTGCAGTTGCACTTCATCAAGCCAGTAACAACAGGGCTTGGATAGCCTTGGCGAGCCAGAAGGTGGCGGCGAAGTCACCTTGGGAGGAGAAGAGGGTCAAAGGGAGTGCAGTGGAGGTGCTGACCCGGGCACAGGGGCCCACCAGCTGTGCCCCTGCTCTGGGATTCCTGAGGAAGGGGTAATGTAGGTTGGAGAGATGCCAGGCAAGAGGAAAGCTCTGCAGGAGGACCCTTAGGCTACCCTAGGTGGCGACCATCTGACCGGTCTGCGAGGGGGCGCCCTTGGCTGAGTCACGGAAAACCTCGCTTCCTAGGCTGGCATTTTTTTCCCCCCTGCGTGCCCCTGCGGCTGCCGGCTGCCCCTAGAGTTCTGCGCGACCGGAGCTCCACACCCGTGTCCCGACCTGCCCGGTGGCTGCGCCCGCCTAGCGCACGCCCCGGAGGGCGGGCCAGAGCGCAGCACGGCGCAGCCGCCGCCGCCACCGCCACCCGAGAGCGCAGGGAGTCCCGCAAGAGAGCCAGGCCTCTGTGGGCGCTGCCCGTTGCAAGTCACTCCCCGTGCCACCTAGGTCACAGAGCGGGACTTTCCCGCCTAGCTCCTCCGCAGGGAGGTCCGTGCACGCAACCCTGCGCGGCAGGCCCCTGACACATCCCGGGGAGCACCGGGCTCGCGGAACCGGATCGCGGCGATCCGAGCTGGGCCGCGGCGAGCCGGGCCCCTAGTCCCAGGGCGCGGTCTCCACCGCACTCGGCTCCTCCTCGCCAGCTGCGCCGCCGGTTCCCATTGTTCGCCCCGCCCGCCCGGCGACGTCCGGGCGCCGCTCCCCGGCCTCGCCGCGCACCTACCTTCTGCTGCCGCCGAGCCATGTCGGTGGGCTGCTTGGCGTTGAAGGGGTAGGCGATGCAGCGCATCACGAACACGTACAGCTGCAGCCTCTTCTTCCTCTCCTCCTCCTCCTTCTGCAGCCGCTCCAACTCTTCCTTCTCCTTCTCGCTCACCACCGACGGGCTGGGGCTGGAGGGCCGGCCGCCGCCCGCGCGGCTGCTGGGCTGCAGCCCCCCGGCCCCGCCGCCGCTGCTCGCGCCGCTGCCCCCAC